AGGGAGCCCGATGCGGGGCTCGATCCCAGGACCCTGGGATCGTGACCTGAGCCGAAGGCAGATGCTTAACGACTGAGCCACCCAGGCGCCCAGCAGTGTGAATATACTTAACATTACTGAACTGTACACTTAAAAATGGTTAAGAAGTAAATTTATGTTACGTGTTTTTCACTACAATAAAAAATGAAATAAATAAGTAGATATATACCATAAAACTGCTTACCAAGCAGTATAACTGCAGTGTCAGTAATTCATCATTTGTCCATTTTTAAGACTTGTTGATGTAATTTGTTAGTTTGCAGCTCTCACTATTTAAATGATGCCCATTGTTTGAGCCATGAGTTAAAATAGAGAATTATATTCAAGTCTTCTGTTGATGTCTCCATTGAATCGATAATCATTAGATTCCCAGCTCCCACATCAGGGCCAAGCACAAACGTGATAACAGTGCTTCCCACGTGACCTGAACGCCGAGAGCTGTGCCCTGACATGGCGCCCACCACTGGCAGCCACACTACCTTCTCCATTCGCCCCTACAGTGCCTGTGAGGGCTACTGCATCACGCACGTGCCATTAGTCATCTCTGCAGCTGTGACTAAAATCCTTGAAGATGGTTTTGTGAAGGCTTACTTATTTTTTATATAAAATTTTTATTAGTTTTACCTCAGTGTTATTCCACAAAGTAACTTCCCTACTAATAGAACAAGTTTTTCAGAGGAAGCAGAAATGAATTGGGTAATATGATAGCATAAGAAAACCCATGATGCTAATACTATCTGTCTGTATTGTGCAGGGATGAGCCACCAAAACCAACCTTAGCTTTGGAATATACATACGGAAGAAGAGCAAAAGGGCATAATATAGTGAGTGTCTTTTTAAGTGATATTGCTATGCCTGTGGATGGAGAAGTAATAATGCCGACTTTGTTTTATATTTTCGTCTTATCTATAATCAATAAAAATATCCAGTTGTACACTTCATAGCTATGTGCTTTTAAACTTCAAATGCACCTTAGCAGATGTGAAGCCAACCCAAACTGTGAAAATAATTTAGCCTTCTTGTTGGTTGTACCTTAAAATGCTGGAATAAGTTTCCTTTGTAACTTTTTTGTACAGTTTGGACATATTTATGTTAATTGTGTTAATGTGACTTTTTCCTCTTTCAAGTAGGAATAATATTGTTACATCCTATCTCCCCCAAAAATCTGCTGAAAATAAGAGTTTGGCCTGTAGAATATTTTTGAAAATACACTATTCAAGATCCAAATTATTAGCATTTTTACAAACATATCTTGAAGTTAGTAATATTATTTGAGGCCGGAGGCCATAATTGGTTATAATCCTATTTTCACTGTTCGAGTGTCTACTCAGAGGAAAGTTGGAGGTTATTCAGGACAGAAGGAGAGTTTATGACATATTTTAGAAGGATAAAAAAAAATCTGAAATAGAATCCTCATTTGGAGTTCTCACATGAAGAGGTCATTTCTTAAATAGAGTTAGGTGTATGGAAGAACAATCATACCCCGCTTGTCCCGTGCCACAGGCAAATTTTTACAGATTGATCTAGTCCAAATGTTTGATCATTGGACAGTGTGTAAGAGTTAAAACTGCCTGTTGCTAGATTCACCAATGAAAGTTGGTTATTAAGACTGTGAGATTAAAAAGAAAAGAAATAACATAGTGAGATGCGGGAAAACCTTATTTTTGTGACTCACATGAATTTTGGTATGAGTGAAGACATAGAAATGGGATTATGCTTTTCATTGGAAACTTTGAAACAGCTTTCATAGCTTCACTTTTGAGAAGAGCTCTAAAAACTCCCCTTCATCAAACTGTGACTCAAGGGAGACTTTTCAGTGAAAAATTATTTCCCTCATAAACATTAGTGATTCAGATATTAACAGCAAATATTCAAATATCAATAGCAAAACAGTTTTAGTGATTATGAGATGATAATTTGTCAAAAATATATATACTCATCTAAAACTCGCTTCAGTGACCATCTGTCTTCCAGGTTAATGGCAATAGATATATAAAAACTCATGTGATTTTTTTTTTTTTTTCCCTAAACTTTGTGTTGGCAAGTTGGGCTTTTCCATATTCATTCTGGAAGATTGATGTTTTTCTCAGATTTAATGTTCCCTAAGAGTTCCAAGTGGAAGCACTGTGTCAGCTCCTCACACAGTCGTGGTGTCACGAAGGCTCCTGAACAGCAGGGAGGAAGCAGAGAAGCCTTTGGTTAGCAGTCCCCAAGAAGGCTGTCCTGGAACAGATGCTCTTACCCCCAAGCTGCATGGCTGCCTCACCCTTACAATCCCCCAGTGTTTAAGAGTCCTATAAAAAGGGAAGCGGTTTTTCAGTCTCTTCTTGTTCCCCACCTACCATGTCAATGTTTCATCCTTGTTTCTTGGAATAGATGTTTCAGCGCATTTTGAGGGATGGGATAGAGAAAGAGGAAAGTTTTGACTGCCAAGAAAAGGTTTATTGAGGACTACAGTATTTTGTATCCATAATTATTACTGGCTGATGCTAATGAACTTATGAAGTATTTAAAAATAAAAAATATATATTTTTTCATATGAAAAATACCTGTTTTTTCAGCCAAAAGACATTGCTCACTTTTGGGAACTAGGTGGAGGAACCTCCTTATTGGACTTAATCAGCATACCAATCACAAGTGATACCTTACGGTAAGTGAGCTGGCTCCAGAAACAGTTGTTAGTAAGCACTCAGGAGCATCCGCAGGATGAATATGGGTGGGCTTTTGGGAATCAGAATTTGAGGGGGCAGTTTTATGTTGCTGAAGGTTTACACTCCCTTTCTATGCGCTTAAAACGTAATGCTTACGAAGAGATGTTAAAAGAACCAGGGTTTGGCCTGTGCTGACAGTTGGCATTCCAACCAGTAACATAGTTTGCAAGCCTGCAAACCAACAAACAAAATATGTCAAATAACACTTGAGCAATGAATTCACTTGGCAAACCTAAATTTGAAAAGCTTAGTTCTTTTGAATACCCATCCAAGTGTGAGTTAATTCAGCCCTGAGTGTTATCTTCAGCTGGATATTTAAGTCTACCTTTGAATTTAATGCTAATTAGTACCATAAAAGCTTTACCCAAGGGAACAATGAGTTAGGGGAGGGAGAAAGTCTATTTGCTGACCTTGAAGAAATAGAAACTTGAGGAAAACCTCAAACCCTTTGGTTGTGTTTCCTGACAATGACTCCCACATGTTGGCCAAATCAGACGTGGAAAATTGTGACATTTCTCACAGTGTTCCTGGGAATGCGTCTTAGCCAAGGAAAACACACATTTTTACATCTGAAATATCTTACTCTTGTCAGAGTTTAACACAAACCATTGTGGCTGCCTGGACCAAATACAAAGGGCTTGACAATTATTTGTTACATTTCCGCTATTAAGATCTTCAGGGTATGGAATTATTTCTGGTTAACAGAACAATTGGTTTTCCATAAGCTAGCTGGATGCTGATAATGTTGGCTTTATTTGTCCAGTGATACTTTTTCTTTTAAAGAAATTTAATTTACTGTCTTTTACTTACTACAAAAGTAGTATATTCTCGTGTAGAGATCTTGGAAAAACACTGAAAGGTAGAAGAAAGTAAGAGCACCCATAATCACCTGAAAAATAACCCCTGTTAACATGCCAAGGGATTTCTTTCAGTGTTCTCAGTGTTTATAAATATACTTTGTACAGTTTTGGGATGTTTTCTATATATGTTTAGATCTTCGGTCTTCATTCCCTAGAAGCCCAGGGCAGCTGTGGCTTGCTTTAGGAGGGGAGGTCAGGGTTATGATGAACAGAGGAAGGGGAGCCGGAGGCCTGCATCCAAAGTAGGTTGCTGAGTGCTTAAGAAATTCATGAAAAACATTTCACTCCTAATGTAGTCGCAAATCTCAGAGTGTTTTGTGACTGGAATCAATTTGACACATAATTAATTTCCTTATGTTGGACAAAGCCCAGCAACTTGAGAAAAATAATATTGCGAAATGCTATTAGATACTATTTATCTTGAAAATGACTGTTCATAGAATAATTATAAATGCATTGAACAGACTTTAGGTAATTTGTAATGGAGCATTTCCTGTGGTTTCATTTCCCTGTTTAAAGAGGTGGTTGGGGGGCGCCTGGGTGGCTCACTCGTTAAGCATCTGCCTTGGGCTCAGGTCATGCTCCCAGGGTCCTGGGATCGAGCCCCTCATTGGGCTCCCTGCTCAGCGGGAAGCCTGCTTCTCCCTCTCCCACTCCCCCTGCTTGTGTTCCTGCTCTTCTGTCTCTGTCAAATAAATGAAATCTTTAAAAAAAAAAAAAAAAGATAGAAATGTTGGGGTGCCTGGGTGGCTCAGTCGTTAAGCGTCTGCCTTTGGCTCAGGTCATGATCCCAGGGTCCTGGGATCGAGCCCCGCATCGGGCTCCCTGCTCCGCGGGAAGCCTGCTTCTCCCTCTCCCACTCCCTCTGCTCGTGTTCCCTCTCTCGCTGTGTCTCTCTCTGTCAAATAAATAAAATCTTTAAAAAAATATATAGGTGGTTGGGTTTTTAAAAAAAATTTTTTTTTAAGGATGAGATCGTGCCATTTGAGACAACATGGATGGACCTAGAGGGTACTGTGCTAAGTGAAATAAGTCAGAATGAGAAAGACAAATACCATAGGATTCCACTCATAAATGGAATCTAAAAAAAAAAAAAAAAAAGAATAAAGCAGAATCAGATCCGTAAATACAGAGAACAGACTGATGGCTGCCAGAAGGGAGGGGGTGGAGGGATGGGCTCAGTGGGTGAAGGGGAGTGGGAGATCCAGGCTTCCAGTTACGGAATGAATAAGTCACGGGGATGAAAGCCACAGCATAGGGAATATAGTCAATGATATCGTAATAGAGATGTGATGGGACAGACGGGAGCTACACCTGTGGTGAGCACAGCATCATGTGTAGAGTTGGGAAATCACTATGTTGTACACCTGAGACTAGTGTGACATGGTGTGTCAACTATACTCAAATAAAAACAATTTTTTTGCTGTCATTTGCTATGAAAGTAAAAGTAACACAGGTGTGTACAGTGCAATGGAAATACAAACTTTAATCTTGGAAAAAGGTTGAATATTCTGTTTTGTTTTCACTTGAAGTCATTTTTTATTTGGAAAAATGATAAAGTTTTGGTTATATACATTTTACCACAGTAAAAAAAGTGAAACCATAGTCAGTGTTTTTTAAACATTAACCATACTAGCCCCCAGCGATAAAATTAATTTCCTATTATAAACATACATATTATTTATTATTATAGTGAAGTAAAGCTCTCACGGGTTTATTAAAATGTTTAGATCTGATTAGCTCTACAATTTAATGGCATGCTAATTTTATAGAAAATCTCGACAATTACTGTCTAGAAGACTATTTTCTGAAGTTAGACCTGTAGTATAGAATTTAGTTACTGTTTCACGTGAATTACACAAAATAGCTGGTTTTTCTCAAACTAAGCAAAATAACTGACATAATTATAAAATAACTAAATGTACTGTAATTCCTTGTTATATCCACTAGCAGAATGGTGGCCCTGTTGATCAGGGATGTATTGGCCTCTGATTATGGCCCTCCATACTTACTATGCCCGTGTTCTGAAATACTCCTAGATTTGTTTGTGTTTTATTTTGATGAAATGTCCTCATATTTTATCCCTTTAGCCATTTTTAAGTGTACAGGTTAGTGGCATTGTGTACCCACTGTTGTGCAGCCATCAGCACCATCCATCTCCAGAATTCTGTCAGCCTCCCCAGCTGAAACTCTGTCCCCATGGAACACTGACTCCCTGCAGCCCCCTTCCCCGGCCCTTGGCAGCCACCTTTATACGTGCTGTTTCTGTGAATCTGACTGTTCTAGGGACCTCCTATTCATGAAGTCATGCAGTACTTGGCCTTTGAGTCTGGCTGCTTTCACGTCCCAGAAGGTCTCCGGGGTTCACCCATGTTGTAGCACGTGGCAGAATTTCCTTCCATTCAGATTCTGCTGGGTGTGTCTGCCGCATTTTGTTGATGCATTCATCCATGGATGGGTATTTGGGTCATTCCCACCTTTCGGCTATTGTGAACAGTGCTGCTCTGAGCTCTGATGTCTAGATACGTGTTCGAGTCCCTGATTTCAGATACTCTCGGGAGTGGACTTGCTGGATCATACGGTAATTCTCTGTTTAATTTTTTTGAGGAACCAGCATACTGTTTACCACAGTAGGAATTTCACATTTTACATTCTCACCAGCAGTGCTCAAGGGTTCCAATTTCTCTGTTTCCTTACCAACACTTGTTATTGGCGTTTTTGTTCGGTTTTTGTCTTATCATAGCGATCCTGATGAGTGTGAAGTGACGTCTCATTGTGGTTTTGATTCGCATTTCTGTAAGGATTAGGGATATTGGGCATCTTTTCATATGTTAATGGCCACGCGTATATCTTTGGAGACATGTCTGTTGGAGTCCTTTACCCATTTTTCAGTGTGTTTGTTGTTGCTGAGTTTGATTTATGTTTGACTGACAGGAACACCAGTACACATTCGTGTGGCGATGGCAGAGGTGTGTGTGGTGGTCAGGGGTGCGCATTCAGGGAGGCCCCGTGGTAGAGCAGAAAGGACCTGTGGCTCTGGACCTACCCCTCTGCAGTTTACTACTTACATAAACCTGCGCCTCAGACTTCTAATCCATAAGATGGACATCATAAACATCTTCTAGGAAGGGTTGTTGCAAAGATTAAATGACCGAGGTAGTCCCCTGCCTGGGCCATCAGTACATCTGTTCTCCTTCACCTAGTTGTTGTGTTGTTGCTGTGCTCTCATTCTTTCCGCCTCCCTTCTCTGGAGGACACAGTGAACTTGGATCTAATCATCCCATTGTTGGACCCGATTGCTTGCAGATTATTTGAACTGGATGATTTTTAGTAGAAACAAAACCTTCAGTGCCACTCGTGGTTGTAACACTTAAACATCACGAGGGAGAAGTGCTGGAGTAAGTAAGGCTGGAACTTTGGGCTCTGTGTGTGTGTGTGTTTTGTCTTAGAAAAGTGCTGTGTGTTATTTGATCCTTAAGCTACAGTGTTATTCTTAGATAATAAATTTCAGTATAATAAGGTTTCAAATTTTGAGTCTTTTTTAAGAAATGTTTTTATTTTTTTAGGACATTTTCTATTGTTCTTGTTTTGGATCTTTCAAGACCTAATGACCTCTGGCCCACTATGGAAAATCTGTTGCAAGCCACAAAAAGCCATGTAGATAAAATGATAATGAAACTGGGGAAGACAAATTCTAAAGCAGCGTCTGAAATGAGACAGAAGATACGGAGTAATATGCAGAAGGACCATCCAGTGAGTTGCTGTTGGGATTATTCCTAGAATCCTTAGCCCCATACACAGTTAAAGATAACATCACAAACAACTTCCTTAGAGTTTTATGCATGATTTGAAATTCATTTGATGTAGATGAACTTGTTCACTGGAAAATTATAGCAATTTAATAAAACCTCAGTGAGAGCAAAACAAGGAAAAAGATTTCTCATGTCTTCTTGTTAGACATCCACTGTGATTGTTATGGCGTATTATACCAATCAAAAGAAATAGTTTGAAGTAGTAGTTTGATATTGATTTTATAATCTCTGTAAAATGAAGATAAAAAACTGGACTGTACAAAAGTCACCTGGCAAATAGCAGATGAAGCTACAAATTTAAGCCACGAGTAGAGTTTTCACAGTCTTATTGTCACCCTGTATTTTATGTTCATTTAGTGTCTGTCACATATTCAATATCTTTTGATCATCTGACAACTAATGAAATTATAAAGTTGCAACGATGGTAACACAAGTCTTTAAATACAACCATGAATATCATTTTCTAGAAAATCTGCACCAGTATCTTACGTTGCCCAGGCTTTATAGGAATGTGTTTTACATAGGGAATACCAGGATGAAACTGAGAGTTTATGGTTCCCATCTGTGCAGTGTGGTTGCTATTGCAACAAAAGAGAATACCAAATAGTAAATAACAGAAACAGGCAGATGACATGTTATTTAAGAAAATAGGACAGAATATAACAAATAAATATGATAATTTAGGGAATTGCCATGTCTAGTTTTATACTTGAGAAATATAACTTAGTAAGTGAAAGTTAAAAATTGGGACCTTTATGTCAAGCAAACAAAGTCAACATCTATGAAAAGACTAAAATGGTATATTTTTAGAAGTAAATAGAATTTGCTGAATACATAGTACTAAATATAATAATAAAGCAATGAAATATGTTAACAGGATCGTGAATTAGTCGACCCATTTCTAATACCTCTGGTCATAATTGGAAGTAAATACGATATTTTTCAGGTAAGCTTTTCCACTTCTAGTTAAGGTGGTTGTTTATGCATAGCCAGGCTTTATGGGAGAGGAAGAAAAATAATAGTGAAATGAGAAAAATGACTCTGGGAGGAAGAGGTCAAGGAGTCACACATCTTAAAGATTTTGGAAAAGAAGACATAGCGGGGAAAGAGAAAATATGTGAAGAACAATACGTACAGTGGAGTGGGGATAAGGCAGTCGAATGGGGATAAGGCAGATTGAGAAACTGAATCTTTCACCCAGTCACTGAGGGATAGGACTGACTTCCCAACTTTCAAATTGAAGAAAGTAGAAAATTGGTTTCTTCTTATCTTTGCTTGTCAGAGAATCCCTAGGGTATTCCACATTATAAAATGTGTGCTCACATCTAAATTCTATTGAGCTAAGTGTTTAAACAAGGAAAGATCTGATAGCTGTAGTTCTAGAAGGCTTCAGCTACTGTTCAACTCTCTATAGAAACAAATATCAAGGTCATGGAATCCTACTCCTCAGGGTATGTCCCCCCCCCCCAAAAAAGAAAGAAATCATGTATTTCTACACTTAGTAATTTGCACCTTCCTGCTACAGATATTTAATTTTCTCAACTTGTTTTTTCTTTCTAAAAATATATTTCTTCAGGATTTTGACTCTGAGAAGAGAAAGGTTATATGCAAGACCCTTCGATTTGTTGCACATTATTATGGAGCATCATTAATGGTTCGTACATTTCCTACCTTTGGCTTGAGTGGACAGCACCAAATTTAGAAAGATTAGCAATTTGATGCACAGTTATAAATACTAATGTTTTTACTAGTACACATAATCCCTTCCTTCCCTTTCCTGCTGCCCCAAAATCCTCTTGTTAGAGTGTTTGATAATGTATTTCTAGAACGTACTCTGCTAGATGGCAGACCATGTCTTCAGAGCAATTGCTTATATCCATAAACCCCAATCAGAATCTCAAGCAGATTCCCTGCTGAGCATGGAGCCTGACTTGGGGCTCGATCTCATCTTGAGATCATATCCCAAGCCAAAATCAAGAGTCAGATGCTCAACTGACTGAGCCACCCAGGCACCCCCAAGCCCCAGTCAGTCTTAAAGAGATAAACTGGTTATTAATTCATTCATTTTAATTTCCCCTTAAGAAAATTAGAATCTGTCTTCTCTTAAGAGAAAAGAGGGGGAAAAAAACTGCTTTAACAATATGTTCTTTTTTTAAACTTAAAAAAAAAAAAAAAAACCATTGTTGCAGTTAAAACCATGAACTTGAGAGTCCTGGTGCCTGGGTTCGAATCTCAGGACAGCCATTTACTAGATGTGTGATCTCAGGCCATGTCATCTCACTCAAGCCCCAGTCTCCTCCAGGGTAAAATGGACAAAACCAGTGCCTTCTTCATAGGGTGGTTGTGAGGATAAGTGAGAGAGTAATGTGATGTGCTCACCACAGGGTCTGAAAGTGTTCCTTAATCAGTGTTGCTAATAACTGTTATCCTTACCTTCCACAGCAGGAACAAAGGATAAAGGATATTCTTAAATGCAATAAAATATAAAAGTACTTTTATTTAAAAGAAATACTATCTTCCCATTTGAGTGGTTTCTTTTTCCTGGTACATGAAAGTGCTCAGAGGAAGCTGGAGACGACACGGTCTAGTCCCTGGCCTTCATGGCTAGGATATTATGACTAAAAGTGTTGAATATGATCTATATTTAAATTTTTTTACTTCTGAATACTCCAAATAAATTGCATTGTGTATTTTTCTAAAAATCCGTACCTTTTACATTTATACTGTATCTGCTTATATATTGAATTGACAGTGCTTTGGAAATACTTTTTTTTTGACTGTTTAAAAAAGACATGGGGAGTTTAAAATGAATGTATCCAGGATACAGAAGCAAAGACCATGAATCTTGTAGTTTCTTATTTTTACCACAAGATAAAGCCCCACAGTTAGTTCTGGTTACTTAGCTGGGGGAAATCTCTATCTTTCTTTAGGAACAGATCACATTTGTTGATCAGTCGGGGTCTAGTCTGGTCTTATGTGTACAAATTTTAGATCAACCCAGGCAGGTCTAGAAGGTCCTACAAGATCAGGGTCTTCTAGGGAGTGGATTTGAGAAAGGCTTCATCTCAGCTTTCAGCAAGCTAGAGGGATGAGAGTTTGAGTTAGAGGAGCCCTTCTGGACCAGGAGAACCATAAAGCTTGTCTAGCTTCCCAGACCAAGAAGAGAGCAGCCAAAGTTACAAAGCCCTGTCTTTCTTTTTTTTTTTTT